AATGGTTTGAGGGGCGGAGGGGGCCGATCGGCTCCGGCGACCCCCCCAGTCATGTCCCGGTCGGCGCGCCGACCGGGACATTACTGTGGGGGTCGCCGGAGCCGTTCAGTCATGTCCCAAATTTTGTGGGACCGTTGTGGAGCGCAATCGGCGGAACTGCGGCGCCCCGACCCCCCCAGTCATGTCCCGGTCGGAGATCCGACCGGGACATGACTGGGGGGTCACCCGTCCCTGCCGACGCGCGCCAAAGTTCTTGAAATCATTGTGGGAGCTCGTTCGGCGCAACTGCGGCGCGGCGACCCCCCCCAGTCATGTCCCGGTCGGAGATCCGACCGGGACATGACTGGGGGGGTTGCCATGGCAGCAGCCCCGACACGCGCCAAAGCTCGATCTTCCGACTGTTACTGGGTCGCATAGCATAGTGGAGCATAGCATAGCGCAGCACAGCATAGCGCAGCACAGCATAGCTCAGCATATGCATAGCATTGGCCAGCATAGCACATCATAGCATAGCTTTGCATATCATAGCATAGAGCAGCATCGCATGTGATAGCATAGCCTAGGATAACATAACATAGCGCAGCCTAGCATACCCTAGCATAGCATACCCTAGCATAGCATAGCATAGCATAGCATAGCGCAGTATAGCATAACATATCATACTATAGCATCAAAGCAATGGCATTGCAACTGCAGCAACAACACAGCAAAACACAAGCGACGCAAGCAAAGCAAAGCAAACCAACGCAAAATAACAAAAACCATATCATAGCATAGCGCAGCATAGCATAGCATAGCATATCATAGCATAGCATGGCGCAGCACATCAGTTCATATCATAGCGCAGCATAGCATAGCATAGCATATCATAGCGCAGCATAGCATATCATAGCATAGCCTAGCGAAGCACAGCATAGCATATCATAGCATAGCATAGCTCAGCATATCATAGCATAGCCTAGCATAGCATACCAGGAGGAGAACGGCGTTTACCGTTACTACTAATGCTGCTTTCCTAGGGGCTCCAATTTCTAGGTAGGGCCGCGCTGGGAGAATTTGCGATTGCTGTGGGGCGTCTACGGCTCAGCTCTGGCGCCATCTTCTGTATCCTTTATCTTGCACGCATGCAAATCGTATTTTTGATGGGATAACGTGACATGTGAGAGGGGTCGGCCACGGCCTCTAAGTACTTCCATGTCTGACAGGGGGGGGCGCAGATGTCGATCCCCTCCGCATGTCCTTGTCGCCGTGCTTTGCTTGTCTTAGGATCGGGGTGAAGATTGCTGGGGAGAGGCGACCTCCACCCAAGCCGTTTGGATCGACACCGAAGGGGATTCATTGCGTGCCATGAAGTGCATCAAGGCACCGTGGGTGTCATGCGCACAGGACGTGGTAGGGAACCCGCTTGATGGCTGGACCCGGGGATTGGCGATGGCGTCGGACTGCTCGGGGTTGGGGACGGCAGAAGTGGCATGGGCGCAAGCTGGGCATTCTGGAACCGCCCACCTCTTCACTTGTGACTTGCGCCCAGCTTGCCGCCGGATGCTGGAAGCGGTAGTGCCGGGCACCCCTGTACTTGCAGATGTGACCCAGCGCATATTCCATAAAGGTCGCATGTTGGCGCGTCGCGTCGACGGGCAGGTGCGCGCGCTCGACGTGCACTCTGCAGCTTTTGACCTCTACCTGGCTGGCTTCATGTGCTCTCCGTTCACTAAGCTCGGGGTGCGGCAGGGCTTCCAAGCGGAAGCAGCAAAAACTTTCTTCGGAGTCCTGAAGACGATCGTAGCCACCCGTCCTCGGGCGGCCATTCTTGAAATTGTAGAAGAGATCCGCGACCCAGAGAACAAGGCGGCATTTCACGCAGCTTTGCAGACTGTAGAGGGCTACGAGTGGCAAGAGTTTATTCTCAAGAGCCAAGATTACGGCTTGCCCCAGCACCGGGTGCGCTTGTACATCGTTCTGTTGCGCAAGGGGCAGACGCGCCACACTACAGCTAAAGCAGCTTTGGATCATATACGAGTTCTCCTCAAACGATCAGAATGCCCTGCGCCAGAGCCGTGGCATCAATGGTTGGCTGACGTCGGATTGCCGATGCAGGCCCAACAGAGCGATAGCTCATCGGGCCCTTGCGACGGTTGCAAGGAGTTCGGCCCTGTTCGGTACAGTTTCCGCAGCGTCTGCAGCATCCACCTCTGCCAATGCCCATCATGTAAGAAGTCTCGGGGTGCAAAGAAGAATTCGTTTGCGAAGTGTTCGTGGCGCAGGCGTTGCGAGATCCTGTTCGTAAAGAGTAGGAAGGCAAGGGCGAGCTATTTGAAGGCGTGGCGCAAGGTGACTGGGAATCCGACATTAAAGCGGGTGCCCAATTATTGGCGCCTTGTGGGTTCTAAGAAGGTCCAGGTGTGCCCCGAGGTGTCGGGATCCCCAAGCAAGCGTAACCTCCTGACGGTCTTGTCCGAAGGGCGTAACTTGATGAAGCCGAACGTTATCCTGAACACGTCGCAGTCCGCAGGGCGGCACCGGCTCCGGGATGACGGTCTAGTTCCGACATTGTCCCACACGTGCGGCGGGTTATTCGCCCCTGCGTTCGGCGCTGCTTTGTCCCCAGCGCAGTGCCTGGCGCTCCAGGGGCGCGCGGGGGCTTTACCGCTCGAGCGTTTCAGCCGCAATGAGATATACTCCATGGCTGGAGTGGCCATGTCGGTCCCAGTCGTGGGCGTGATTATGACTGCAGTGGTCAGCCAATTAAAGCCTTGCTGAGTCCTTTCGGCGCGTTTCTGATTTTAGTCTGGGGCGTGGCACGGCCGCCCCCGTCCCCGCGCGGGGCCTTGCGTGCTCGTCGGCATGCGTCCTTCGAGCAGCGGGTGCACGGCCGATGGGGCGCGTTCGGGGCATGCAGTTGAAGGGCAATGTGGGCCGCGTGGCCGCTAGGAGCACTGAGGCAAACCGAAGCGCTATGGAACGGCGCAGGGGGCGAGGAGCGAGCTATGGGAGGAGCGAGGTGGCAAGGGGAGCGCAAAAACAATTGCAGCGACAGAAAGTGGCATATCTCATGTTGCAGTTGTCGGGAAAGCGACGCCCCCCCGCGAGAACTCAAACACTTTCGGTCAAGGATGACGCGTTAGCGCTTTGTCGGGGGTAGGGTGAGCACGCCAGTGAGTGGCACATTGATTGCGCGTGCCCTCTTCATCTCCGGCCAGGGTTAACGCGCGCGGCATCATCCGCGAGTTTCGTTGAATGCCAGGGGGTGAGGGGGCCCCGCTGCGCTGAATGCCGGTCAGGGAAAGCAGGCGCGAGCGGGGGGGAGGGGGGGGGGTTGAGGAGGGCGAGGAGGAGGGGAGAAAAGACGGCGGAGGACGGGGCAGCCAGCAGAAATACTTTCGCCGCGAGGTCCACCGCCGGGCAGCTCGGCGACGACAGTGACAGGAGGAAGAGGAAAAAAAGAAGGAAGAGGAGGAGAGGAGGAGAAGGGGGGAGGAAGGAGGAAGAAGGGCAGGAGGAAGTGGAGGGAGAAGAGGAGAGGACGGGGGAGGAGGAGGAAAGGGAGGGGGAGGAGGGGGGGGGGGGGGGGAGGGGGAGGAGGAGGAGGAGGAGGGGGGAGGAGGAGGAGGAGGAGGAGATCAGGAGGAGGGGGACAAATGAGGAGGAGGAGGAGGAGGAGGAGGAGGAGGAGGAGGAGGGGGATCGAAAATGAGGCAACTGGCAGCAGCTTGAGTGCGATTGACCTCCCTCCTGAATCGCCGCGCGCACCTCTGCGCGACGTCTAAACGGCGCATGCGACTATCAGGTCTCCCGTCGACGAGGGAGGGGGAAGTAGAAGAGAATGACGACGAGGGGGAGGGGGGTTCAGCATATTTGCCAAGCCACAAGTAACGCCCGACAAGGCGTCGCGCGCCGTGGGATCTCCAGGTTGACCTCTTTGTGGGGCCTGCGGGAGGCAGTTCGGAAGCCTCTCGAGGCCTCTTGGAGATAGTCTTGGGGCTTCTTGGGGCCTCAGAGGTGCTTCTCTGGCGTTTCTAACTAGGGACTTCTTGGTGCCTTTCGGGGGCCTTTCGGAGCTTCTTGGGGCAGGAGTCTCGGATTTCCAATTCTGTGTCCGTTCTTGGGCGCTCTTGGGATTCTGGGGCCGTGCTCAGACGGTCTTGAGGCGGTCTCGGGAGCCTCTGGAACCGTCTTGGACCGTCGTGAAGCCGAAAAAGCGACAAGGCCGAATACCTTCTTTCAACAACAGACGGTGCATTGAATGCTTGGAATGCTCTTTGGTCGTCTGGGGGGGGGGGGGGGCTCTCGGGCCGTCTTGATGGCCCGGCTCCTCGGTGCCCATGCTGGGCCCGCTCGGGCCTCAGACAATCGCGCGGGGGACTCGGGAAGACCCGCGGAGACAGCGGCAAACCCAGGGCGATTGGAGGCCGAATTGCGGGGTCCCTTGTTAAAGAAACCTCAAGACTGAAGATTGGCTCAGGGGTTTTAGCTTAGTGCCTGAGGGCGCACCCGCTCCGCGACGAAGGGCGCGGTGGCGGAATCCTCCTGCTCGTGGTCATCCCCGCTCCGTTCCCTGTCCTAGAGCTCCCCGGCTTCCTCCAAGAGAGATGTTCTCATCCACTCCCTCGTCTCGCTTCCCCCTCCTCTTCAGAGTCTTGCCCTTTGCCTTGAGATAAAACCGACCATTTTGGAGCGAAAGTGGTCGGTTTCAGTGGTTGGCGCTTGAGCGGTTTCGACCCGGGCCCTCGCTGCCTGGTCGGATTTTGGATCTGCCGCCAGAGCCAGAACGATGCGCTCGCCCGCTGGGGGCAGAGAGTTCACTTCCAGTCGGGCTGGAAAAAATTGCATGGATTGGGGGGGCGTCAGCGCAGTAAGTATGCTGCCGAAGTGCCCCCCCCATCTACTCACGCCCGCGCGTGGTTCCGTTCGCGCGCTTTGGCTCAGGACATGACTCTTCCCAGCGTGTTTAACGATCAAGTTAGGGCAGCGATGGCAGCTGGCTTGGGTTCGATGCCCGGATGGGCGTTCGAAGATTTTTCAAGTTAGACCCGGCAGAGGAACGCCGCCTCAAGATGGGCTTGGCGGTCCACTTGAACCACCAATACGACGCCGTGAACATGGGCGAGCCCTCTGCTGTTCCCATTGACGGCGTCGCGGCCTACCGCCCAGACGTTATCGGCGACTTGCACAAGAAGTACTTGGACGCTACCTCGGCGGGCACCCCGGCCCCAGACGCAACGGTGGCCACTGTCATTTCGGCTCTCTTCGTTAAGTGGTGCGCCCCAGGCAAAGTCTTTAACGTTGGGTACGTGAGCGATTGGATCTCCAAGAACTCCGCCTCTTGGGACAGCTCCATCGAACGGCGGGCTGGCGGACTCCAGGCGCAGACGCCATACGGGGCCCAACGCCTCACCTTGAGCAACCAGAGCTCGCTGTTCGGACTCATCGCCCTCGGTGTCAAACAGTACTTGCACGGCAAAGTCGACGACCATATCGCCACGGCCCTCAAGAGCATTCGGGTAATGTTGTTCCTGGGCGCCGAGTCGGAGGACGTGGAGCTTTTGAACGCCAATGAGAACATAGCGAAGGAAGAGTACAAGCGGCACTCCGAGCTCGAGAACGTGACAGTGGTTCAACTGTGGTGCGAGTCCATGCGTGCGGCAGGTTCCTTGGATCCCACGAAGGCGCTCGACGTCTTCAAGTTCTCCGCGATCTTGGGCGACCCTAGGCAGGCGACGCCAGCGTGGTTGTCCAAACTGGTCGGATCTGTGGCACCGACGTGGTCGAACAAGGTTAAGGCGATCATGAAGCAGGAGTGCAATCTGAATTGGCTGAAGCAGAACAAGGTGCAGGCGGCTCACGCACAGATGAGAGCTTCCTGGAGGTTTCGGTGCGCGTGCGTTTCCTGAAGGGCTTCTCGGGGAAGGCGTTGGACATTCTCATGGCGGACATCTGGTCAGAACTCGGTAAGCAGGGATTGGCCCACAAGCCTTTCCCGATCACCCGCGCCATCTGGGTGTCGCCCGAGATCTTGACGACCGCGGCGTTCTCAACGACGAGGGAGAAGGAGGCGGTGCCCCCGTGCCGTGACGGACAGGCAGGGGAGCAGCTACATATTCGCATGGCCCAGTACGCCGCCCGCCGCGTCTTCGAGTTCCGCATGAAGCATAAGACGGTCGACGCGTTCAGCAGCGCGCCAGCATGGGTTGCGTTCGCCCGCCTTCTGCCTTTCATCGAGAGCGTCCTCCAGTCGGAATACGGCCCGGACATGCGCGCGTGGCCAGATCAGGCCACCGCCTTGCACAAGCAGCTCTGGGTGGGAGAACTCGACTCCGATCTCATCCAAGTCTCTACGCAGATACCGGGCCACTTCGACGCCCGCCATTCCGAGATTGTAAAGCTCCTCACGTCGGTCTTTACGCCGTTGCAGCGGACCATGAAGGCAGTGGCTGCCGCCAAGGCCACGCGCGTGACGGAGCAGCCGCCGCCGCCGCCCCTGGAGACGGCCAGCGCCGGCGACGGCGACGAGGGCGGCAGCGGCATGACGGAGAAGACTGGCGACGTCACTAATGAGCTGGCGGCCGGCTTGGACCTGGCGGAAAAGAAGAAGTTGGTCTCCGACTTGAACAAGCAGGCCCAGGAATCAATCTGGGACGCCGCCCCCTGAAACCCTTTGGCCCCCAAGCCCCCGAGGGGCGGAAACGGGAAGCCCGCAGCGCGGGCGCGGGCTTCCTCCTTGAGTCCAGGGGCGGCGTGCCAGGTTGGCCGTGGCAGGCTATCAGTGACCGCGACAAGTCTTTGCAGCGACAGATTGATCAGCGGGCCGCCGAGATCATTCGCAACCGGGTGGTGGTCATGCGCTCCAGCACTGAGGCGAAGCACTGGATGGAATCCCGCGCCCCGGGATATGTTGCCCGGGCCATCGTCGTCGACTTTGCTATGGCTGGGAAGCTAGACTCGGGGCCTAAGTCCCGCAGGATTTGCCGAGATCCGTCCGAATCGATCTGCGCAGAGTGGGCCGAAGCAATAAAAATCCTACCGGCAACGCCGGTGGTCGGACACGTGATCATCCGCCTTGCCACCAAAGTGGAGTGCACAAGCTCCGCGAGCAGCTGGCGGGCACCCACGAGCATTTGAGGTCCATCTGCGTCCCCGTGCAGGCGCCTCCAACATTCTGGAGGCATCTGAGATCCAGCTCTGCGCGGGGCGGCGGTCCAGACGAGGAGAATATGGAACGCTCAGGCGTGGACTTCCAAATGAGGACAATTTGGAGGCGATTCGTTAAAAAGACTGCGGGGGCGGCCAGTGCGGCCGACGCCGTCGAGGAGTCAGAGGAAGACGGCGAGGGGTCCTCGGACGCCGGGGGCGGGTCGGACAAGCAGAAGAGTCAGCTCGACGAAGACTTTCTGAACGCGTGCGACCCGCACTTGATGGACGAGGACCAGTTGAAAGTCATTTTCGGCGACAAGGCCAAGCAGGTGGAGAGCATCATGTTCCAGCGCGCGTCCCGCATCACCAGCGAGGCTGACTTCATTCCAGTTAACGACGTCTTCAAGGTCGCGCTTGGCGCGCGATCCCAACCGCGGGCGCACCGCAAAGGCCAAGCGCACCCCACCGTGTACATCGAGGTGCTGCGCTCCGCGTTAAACTGCAGCCCGATCCCTTTGTCAGACAACGAAGTCGCGGTGGTCATGACAGGAGGTGCGCCAGAGGCCGTCGTGGCAGCGATCGCGCGCGGGTACAAGCACGTGCTAGTGGTGACGCACGACGACAACGAGAAGCAGATGCTACATATTCCACCCCTGGCCGAAGAACGAGAGTTCAACATCGACTACGCAGCGTACTCTTCACCCGACCCTATGGGCCCGCTGAAAGGCATGCTGGCTGCATGCGCCGTGCGCATGTTGTATCCATTCATCGCCAACTTCCTGCATCGGCGCCCCGGTCACAAGGTGGAGCCCCCTGGCGAGATGCACATCCCGCCTCTGGAAACCTTTACCTTCATCCCGCTCGCGGGCGCCATCGTGGCCAGGCACGTCGGGGAGGGCGCGCCCGACGCGGCAGCTGCGACGGGGAAGACGCCGAATGCCAAGAAAGCGGTGAGGGGGGCTGCGGAATCGCCGAGCGCGGCCACCCCAGGCACTGGGAAGAGCAAAGGGGCCGACCAGGACGAGGAGGACGGCGAGGAGAACGAGATCGAGGACGACGCTGGCGACAACGGCGATGAGGAAGAGGACGACATCACTTCCCAGTTGCAGAAGCTGGAGGAGTTAGAGAAGGGCTCCAGCGGGAAGAAGCCCGGCAAGCGGGGCGTTGCCTCTGGCGGCGGCGGCGGCCCAGGCAAGAAGAAGCCGAGGGCGTCGGCGAAGCCGAAGGCGTCGTGAGGCGGTCGTAGATGCGTTCCAGTCCTGGTGCATTTTCGCCAGCTTTTAGATTGCATTGCAGGCTCCGCTCTAGGCAGCCGAAGTCACCCAGCCATATGTTGGCTACGGGCTCTAGGTCGCCAGCCGTGCGAGGCGCGTGACTGTTGCCTTTGCGCGTCGCCTGCTGCCCGCGAGGCGGGCCTCGACAGAAACCGTTGCCTTTTTGCTTGGCCAATCGGGGCCCGCATCCAGGCGCGCTCTGGCGCGCGCGTAGATGACATTGCAGGCTCCGCTCTAGGCAGCCGAAGTCACCCAGCCATATGTTGGCTACGGGCTCTAGCTCGCCAGCCGTGCGAGGCGCGTGACCGCTGCCTTTGCTTGGTCCTCTCTGCCCGCCGATCGGCCGATCAGGGCTTGCGTGGCAATTTTCCCCGCCCCCCTCCTCCTCCGTCGTTTCCTTCCTCCTAGCCAAGAGAGAGGGAGAGAGGAAGGGGGAGAGAGAGAGAGAGAGAGAGAGAGAGAGAGAGAGAGAGAGAGAGAGAGAGAGAGAGAGAGAGAGAGAGAGGGAGAGAGAGAGAGAGAGAGAGAGAGAGAGAGAGAGATAGAGAGAGAGAGAGAGAGAGAGAGAGAGAGAGAGAGAGAGAGAGAGAGAGAGAGAGAGAGAGAGAGAGAGAGAGAGAGAGAGAGAGAGAGAGAGAAAGAGAAAGCAATAAACAACGAAAGAGATAGAGAGATATATAAAATTATCCCAGTGCGACCCTGAAAGAAAGAGAAGGCAAGACAACGAAAGCGACAGAGAAGAGAGAGAGAGAGAGAGAGAGAGAGAGAGAGAGAGAGAGAGAGAGAGAGAGTGAGACAGACAGACAGACAGACAGACAGACAGACAGACAGACAGACAGACAGACAGACAGACAGAGGGGGGGGAAGAGGAACGGGAAGGAGAGGGAGAGAGAGAGAGAGAGAGAGAGAGAGAGAGAGAGAGAGAGAGACACGCACACACGCACAGACCTGCGCATTCTTTCGGGAGTCGCCCGCGATTGCGATGAGTTGGGCCCGCTGGCTTGTCTGGCGCGCCATGTGACGGCGGGGCCGCCGCCGGGCGTTCTCCGTAAATGAATGTTTTCTCTTTCGCACACGCGCGCGCGCACCCGCGCGCGCGCGCTCTCTCTCTCTCTCTCTCTCTCTCTCTCTCTCTCTCTCTCTCTCTCTCCTCACTGTCTCTGCCCTTGCACCTGCCCCCGCTCCTCCTTCGACCCCCCCGAAAGAAGCCGACCATTTTGGAGCGAAAATGGTCGGTTTTGTATTCCGTGATTTGTTCTCTCTTCCCCTCCCCACTTCTCCGCCTGCACCCCCTGTCGCGCGCTCCCTCGATAGCAGTCGCTCCCATCGTGACCTTAATTCAGCCGGGGGCTCTGTCATCTTCGCTATGGCGTTCCCGTTTTTCTCCCCCAACCGGCCCTTCACCCCTCGTGACCATGGTCCTGTGCCTCGCTCGTTAGATCCAGAGCTTGGCCTTTCCACCTTCCCTCGGCCGCCCCTCCACCCCCCCCCAACTGCGCCTCATCGGCCGGCCCATCGGCCCATCGAGGCCCGTTCTCTCTTACGCTGCTTCCAAGCAAACCCCGCCACGTGGAGAAGGGCGGCGCTGCGGCCTCCTAGCAAGAGAACTGGTGGGCGGCGGCAAGAGACGGGCTCGATCCGCCTTCCTTTCCTGCTCCTTCCTCCTCTGCTGAGGCCTCTCGCTCGCCAACCCCTCCGATCCGTCATCGTTTTGCCGTTTCACTCGAGGGGGTTGCAAGCGACAGCATGTTCTTCCGCCGTGCCCCCACTGGCACCGCCGCCCCTCAGCGTGGGAAGGGGGGGCGGGCGTCGGAGGCGCAGCGAAAGCGGAGATTGGCGGAGCGCGGGCGCCGCATGATCATGGCGCGGAGCTTGTGCTGGCACGCCGAGCGAGGCGTGGATTGCCAGCGCTGCCGCGTGGATATGTTTACGAAGGATCAGAACATGGTGAGCTGCATGAGGCGATGGCGTGCGCAATGGGACGCCATGCCTGGTTCTGAACAGAGACAACAGCTCTTGGACCATATTTGGTCGTGCACAAGCACCGCGCCAATGCCACCTTTAATCGCGACCTCCCGGGGGCTCCGAGGCGTGCCCGTGCAGGCGCGCGGCCGGCTGCATTTGTTCGGACATCCCCTGTGTTCCAGAGCGTGGCGAGCCATTACTGGCATTAATCCATGGCGGGCGCATCGACAAGTGAGCCGAGGCGAAGTCACGTGGCGCCATGCTGGTTTTGCGAGAGCCAGCCCCCGCACAGACGAGATGGTCGCAGGCGTCCAGCACGTCGTGCGCGTCTTGGTCGCCTCGTCGCCCCTGCAGAACGCAGACCCCGATGTAATCGAGCTTCCCTTCCACGAGAAGAAGTTTTTGTTCCGCATGCTGGTCGAGGACTTGTGGGTGAAGGCGCGTGCGGAGCGCGGGCGCACTCCGCTTTTCAGCCCCCCCCCGAAGTATTCGACGTTCATCCGCGTCTTGCAGTTCCCAGAATTCTCCAAGCTTTGTTTTCACAGGATGGTGTCACTGGGTCGTTGCACCAAGTGTGCTTTCTATCGATGGAAGTGCATGTCCGTTACTTCTGATATAGAGCGCAGAGCTTGGCAGAAAGTCGCCGCGGCCCACCACCTTTTACAACTGGAGCAGAAACGAGTTTATTGGGCAGACCGGGCTGTCGCGGCCAGCGATTATCCCAAGTCAGAACTATACCTCGCTTTCGACGGAGGGTCCGGATTTGAGTTCTGGTTGCCGCATCTGTCCGGCGCGGCTGCCGAGGTCCCAGTCAAGGCGGCAGACAACGTGCATTGCCCGCAGTTCAAGGTGATGGACGGCTTGGTGCACGGGGACACCAGATCCCACATCATTTTGAGCCCTTGGTGCGTGGTGGCTGGGTCCAATCACGTTTGCGAGAGCATCGCCATCGCCGTGAATACCGCATGCGAGGAGCACAAAAATTTGTCTCGCAAGTTGTCCGTGCAGTTGGACAACGCGTCTGTGAATCACAGCGTGTGCGAGTTGGGCTTCTTGGCAGTTTACGCTTTGGTCGACGTGTTCGACGCTGTGCGGTTGCGGTTCGAGTTTCCTGACCATGCGCACGATGTGTACGACGCTTTCCATGCCATCCACAGGACAGCGGTGACCAAGGAAACGTTCTTTCATTTAGAAGAGCTGATCGACATCATGAAGGCGTCGCACAAAGCTAGCTTGTTATACGGCGAGTCCTCGCAGTCCTCTGCCTCGCCAGGATGGCGCGGCCAGGGCGGGCGCAGACCTGTTATGGGCCCAGATGTGATGGTCGCGAACCTTTGGGAGGTTCGTGACATATGGGGGTGGCTGTTCCCAGGCCACTCGGCCAAAGCCGCCGAATCGACCGCGCGAGGGGGGTGGTGTACTACGAGAACATTGGGGGCATCCACGATTTTGAACTGCGGAGGGTTCAGAAATCTGGCAACATCATCGTCGAACTCTGGGCGAAGCAGTACATGAGTTCTCCCGCTCACAACTTCGTCGGGGACATCACCAATTGGTCGCTGTATAAGGCCGTGGTGAAGGTCAGCGGAGGGCCGATTGAGACTTGCCAGTTGGCCTTCGGGGGACGCCCTCGGAACGTGTCCGCGGTTGGGCCCAGACGGGTCTGGGGGCCGATGTTGAACTCCCAGCGTCTCAGATCGCCCTGCTCTGAAAAGGGCCTGCCACAGCCAGCGGGCGAGTCAACCGCGGAAGCCAAGATGAAAGCTGGCGACGGGCAGTTGAAGAAATTGCAACGGTTGGCGAGGTCAGGCAACGAACAGTTTTCGGAGGCGCGGCTGAAGGACGCCATCGCCGTTGCGACGAAGGACTGGGCGCACTTCGATTCGTCTTCGGGTTGCGCGTCCCAGGCGAGCCCTCGCCGGTGGATGCCGCCCAAACTGGCTCTGCACGTGCATCGGAAGGGCCTCCGCGGTCGCAGCCTTGCGACTGCGAGCAACGTCGTATCTCCTGAAGCTTCGGCGGCGTTACAGGCTTCTGGCGACGCTCCTGTCCTCCGTCAGCGCTGGCGCGCTCTGCAACAGACGTGTGGCACCACCCGCGGTGAGAATACTCCCGTGGCGGCGCTGCCTCGTAGCAGTCCGCCGGGCACCGTAGACGAATTTATTCGGGGGCCCGCTATCGCAGGAGTGCACGTGCTGACTGATCCGGCGCCGAGCAGCCCGCTGGGGCGCACCAGCCAGCGCCTTGCAGAGGTGCCAGTGTGGGTGTGGCGGGTGCTGCGCGTCATCGAGGCAGTCGGCAAGCTGCCGCCTAATTCGAGGCACGCGGCCGAGGCTTCTGGCCGCGCATTCGAGGCCCAGCTTTTGGTACCTCGCGGGCCGCTGTGGAGTGGCCCGTTGAGGCCCGCGTGGAAGCGAGGCGAAGTCGCATTTTTGCTGACGCCTGCCGAAAAGGCAGCTCGCCGCCGTGCCCCAAGTTCAGCTGTTCCTCGACCGTCGACGTCAGAGTCGAAGCAAATCGATTTGCCGGTGACGGCGATGCTGCGCCCAGAAAACATTCTGGGGGGCGGATTCGGCCTCGCGGCAAACATGTGCGCGCCAACGGTTGTAAAGCAATGTGTTGCGTCGAGGTCCACCAGCGGCGATTAAAACGATGGCGTGAACGGCTTGTCTCGAAATCTTTTGAGACGGGCTTGCTGCATTGGGGCTCTTTCTGTGTTCCAGGATGAAGCATAGTGCGTGTCCAAAACATGTCTCGGGACGTCTCGCCCGCGCTTGGCGTCAGCTTTCTCGTGGGGGGCGCGTCTCGAAAACCTGCTCGGTTGATCTTGAGCCCGCTCGCTTTTCTCCTCCTGCTCCTCCTCCTCCTCCTCCTCCTTCCTCCTCCGACTGCTCCTCGTCTTCCGCCCTCTCCCCCCCTCCTCAGACCTTCTTGTCTCCCTCGTCCGTCTGCCCCTCATTCCTTTCCGAGGAAAAACAAACCGACCACTTTCGTGC